GACCTGGATTAGAATCTGGGGGGTAGCCGGGGTGCAGGGCGGGGGCACTGGGCTTTGTCCAGGATATTGTGGTTCTATCCTTTAAAAAAATATGTTACTTTGAAATAAATGTAGACTCACTTGCAGTTGTCAGGAACAGCAGCCCTGTATTTAAGATGGTCATTTTCCTCGACATTTTGTTTATTTAGTATTTGATGAGGGTCCGCTCTGTCACCTGGGCAGCAGTGCAGAGGTGTGATCACCCTCATGAGAGCCTCAGATCTCCTGGGCTCAGGCGATCCTCCCTAGCTTCCCAGAGTGCTGGGATTACAGGCGTGAGCCACTGCGCCCAGCCTCATTTTCATTTTGAGATCGGTTTCTCCCAGGACGTTTTTCCTTACCGAATTTGGACAGTAGCCACCTGACGTCTGTCCTGAGGGCTTCCTGCAGTGAGATGGTGCTGGAAGCCAGTGGAGGGTTTGCCACCCGCTCCGGGGCAAAGCCCCACCCCCTCCGGGCAGAGCCCCACCCCCTCCGGGCAGAGCCCCACCCCCTCCGGGCAGAGCCCCACCCCCTCCGGGCAGAGCTCCACCCCCTCCGGGCAGAGCTCCACCCCCTCCGGGCAGAGCTCCACGCGGCTGTGCATCACAGCCACCTGGTGACAGGGCTCCGCCCAGCCACAGAAACCAGAATCATTGGGCACAGTCGGCGCCAATGCACCCCAGGTGATTCCAATGTGCACAATTATCGAGAACCTCTGTGATAGGTAAAGGCCCTAGATTTCAGCTTGGCAGCATAAACAAATATATCATTTTATACTCATTAACGATTAAAATGAGATGGATAAAAGGGTAAAATAAAACTATTGAGGTGAAACTGGCCCGAGTGTCCGGTATCGAAGCAGCAATACTGAAAGGGTTCCCTCCCTCCTGGGGCTCTCAGGTAGTGGCAGGATCTCCTGCACCCCTACCCCCATCCCCGGCTACTCAAAGGACCTCTGGCTCAGACAGAGGGTTGGCCAGCCCTGAGCCCCACCTGGCCCATTCCCAGGCACACGACACGACTCACCAAGGCGTCAACCTCAACGAAGTGCTCCCTAAATCAGAGTCAGTAAACATGGCGAGCCCGGGCCTGGCTCTGCCTGTCACAAATCTCTGTCCCATCAAAAACTGGACATGCCAGGTGCTGACCTGCACATAGCATACAATTCCCACTGCTCACAAGCACAGGTACGGACTATGTGAAAAACAACGTAAGCTGTGATGCTTCCCAAATTCCCCGACCCCAAGGGAATTCCCTGTAGCGAAGAATTACATAAAAGCCTAAGCAAGCACCGAGACAGACCACTAAACTCAGACCTCCCGTTTAAAGGACCTTCTTGCGCTAACGTCTTATGAATTAGGAGGGGAATTGGAAGTCCTCTTTGTAAGACTTACCGAAAGATCTCGTCTTCACCTGTAAGTGTGTTGTGGTTTCCTGCTCCTGCCGGGATCCTGGGCTTTGAGAATCAAGTGGAGACGCCCTATGTATCCCACACCTCCCTCTGGCACTCCGGACCCACTGCTTAAATAAAGTACCTCCCTCCTTCCAGAGCCATCGGCCTGTCTCCAGGTGGAGCACCAGCGGGGTCTCGTGCTGATCTGCTGACCTGGGCGCACCTGCTGCAGCAGGCCCAGGTGAGCTCCACCCGCCCCACCTGCGGAGACTGAGCACAGGGCAGGGCTCCCGCACAGTCTGCCATCTTGTCCCACCGTCCAGGCCCGACTGTGGCGAGGCTTTTTCGGTGAATGTGTAAGGTGTGACTGGCAATAATGCTATTGGCAGAGCTAGGGAGAGAAACGCACGGCACGAAAGCGAGGGAGCCAGGGAGGCCTCAGTGCCTGGCGATGCCTGAGGCCGGGCCTGGCACTCAGGGTTGTCTGTAATGAGAGTTTGGGGAGAATCTGAGAGATGTAAGTCGTCTTCTGGGGACTGCATGGTGTGACCTGAGCTACGGTATTGGTCCTGGCATTCGCTGCTCATATCACACCCTAAGCAGGCTGTGATGAGAATTTCTGCCATGGGTGCCGCCCCTCGCCACCCCGGCTTCCACCCCGCCCCGCTCCGCTCCCCATGGCACAAAGCCCTGGGAAAATTCTGAAGTCGAGGATCAGACCTGAAGTACTTGGGGACTGGAGCTGGGGATTCTGGAAGCTCACTGCCTAACCACAGCCTTGGGGCCTGGGGTGGAGCAGGGTGGGGTCTGTGGCATAAGGAAGCCAGACGGTTAGGGCTTAGGGCGCTGGGACTCTTGGCTTCAAGGGTCAGGTAGGGTCACGTGCAGGAGTACGAATTTTGGGTTCTGCACATACGGTCAAAATTGGAAAGATTTTTGCCCTCTTTATTCTGTCAGAGAGGATTTCAACATGTCAGAGGCTTCCTCATGCCTGCATAATCAACCCTGTTTTGTCTACTCTCAATTCCAGTGGGTATGCCACAATACCCATTAACCCTTGTGTGAAAGAATGTACCTGGCGTGCATTCAGTTACCCAGGCAAGGGTTCATGGCACACCCCACTTTTTGCCACCAACGTCTGATTCTCAGCCAGCAGCAGGACTTTGGGAGAATGAGAGGCTGCATGGAGTCCTGGGGAGGGGCTGCCCAGGTGGGGACCAGAGTGGGGCATCCAGGCAGCTGGGGAGGGTGGGGGAGACAGTGCCTGGGAACCTTCCCATCCAAATGTACTCAGACTCCTGACCGCCGGCCCGCCTGAGACCCCACCCCGCCATCAGCAACGCCCCAGCCCACTCAGCCTTCCCCCCTCCCCAGGTGGGTTGACAAGGTGCAGAGACAGGAAAGAAATACTGGTGACCCAATTGCAGATGATGCAGACCTTCCCTCGCCTTCTTAACGTCAATGAGGACCCACAGCTCACCGGGGTCCTCAAGCACTTCATTCAAGACTCAGCTGGCCCCCTGTCTTCTCTCTGCCCCTGCTCTGCCCTCCCCCTGCCCTTCCCTCCCCCTGCCTTGCCCTCCCCCCTGCCCTTCTCCTGCCCTACCCTCCCCCCGCCCTCCCCCGGCCCTCCCCCCGCCCTCCCCCGTCTTGCCCTCCCCCTACCTTGCCCTCCCCCTGCCTCCCTCTGCCCTCCCCTACCCTACCCTGCCCTCCCCCCTGCCCTTCCCCTGCCCTACCCTCCCCCTGCCCTCCCCTGGCCCTCCCCCTGCCCTCCCGCTGTCATACCCTCTCCCTGTCTTGCCCTCCCCCTGTCTTGCCCTCCCCCTGCCTCCCTCTGCCCTCCTCTGCCCTACCCTCCCCCTGCCCTCCCTCTGTCCTACCCTCCCCCTGCCCTCCCCCTGCTCTCCCCTCCCCCTGCCCTCCCCCTGCCCTGTCCCTGTCCTCCCTCTGCCCTGTCCCCACCTTGCTCTTGCTTCTTGCCCCACAGGCATGTTTCTTTCTTGTTTTTTAAATATTTGTTATTTTGGTAAAATATACATGAAGCTCACCGTTTTAACCATTTTAAGATGGTCAGTGGCATTAGGTACACTGATCTTGCATGACTGTCATCACCATCCACGTGCAGGACATTTTCATCTTCCCAAACTGAAACTCTGTGCCCACAAAGGCGAGCTGCCCCTCCCACTCCAGCCCGCAGCCACTGTCCTACCTCCTGTCTCTGTGCCTTTGATGATGGGGAAGACCTCAGACAAGGACCTCTTCACGCTTTCCCGACGGGCTTTTGCCCTCAGCAGAATGTCCTCAGTGCCTCCGTGCAGCGTGTGTGAGATTTTCCTTCCTCCTGAGGGCTGAACAACATCCCCTGGGGTGTACACACCATATTTCATTCATCTGTCATCCAGGCAGGTTCTTGTTACATTTTTGTTTAGCAGTTTCTAAGGAGGGAATCAGCCCCTGAGCTGTCTTCCTGACCTAAATGAGTGCTGAGCAGGGTGGAACACAGCGCCCAGAACCACAGGCACCCCGACCTCCCCTCCCCGGCTGTGCGCCCCAAGATAGCCCCGAGGGCTCCGTGCAGAATGGCCGTGGGGATGTGGGGCTGGGGGCGCGAAGCCGCCCGGAAGCAGCTGTGGCGCTGTCTGCATGGAGCTTCAAACACCAGACCCTCTCCTGCGGCCTCTCTAGTATTCAGCGGTCTCCTAAGGCCTAGACATAGTGGGTTCTTTCTCCAGATTGCCGACGAAGAAGGCGGAACTTTTTAAAAGTTAGGAACTCCTCTCCCTCACACACACAAGAGGCAGAAAGAAAATTATGTCTAAGTACCATTATGATTGAAAATCCCAATTGGAAAAATCCCTTTACACCATCTCACTGCAGAGAAAATGTCACTTCCAAAACATCAGCCATGTTAACTTTTTAAGGTCAAATTCGGAAAGCGTCTGATTTTGACAATAAATTATACTCTAATTCTTTTCAGGTTCCTGTGACGCTGGCCAGGCTGCTTCAAATGCTATCACAATTCAAGGTCTGGGGTGAGTTTCTAGGAATCACTCCACACAGCGAATGCAAGGTTGCCGTTAACGGGGTGCCCATCACCACCAGGACAAAGCTGCAGCATTTGGTAAACTTCCCTGCGGGCTCACAGCTGGTGGGGGGTATGGCCATGTGAGGTGCCCGAATCACAGGCGTGGCAGGGCGGGGCGTTCCCACCGGGTGGGCCTCCTACCGTGGCCTCAAGGCACAGCTGCTGGAGGGAGAGGCTTGCTCTTGACGCTGGATGCTCTTGGGAAGTCACTTCCCTTCTTTGCCCTCACCTGGAAAACAAGGCAGGCTGAACTAGGTGTCCTCCAAGGTCCCTTCCAGCTCTAACGTTTTGTGACATTTTCTATTTTTCTAAGAGCCTGTCACTGAGTGGGGCCACACGCATCTCACCAACAGCAGCACCTCTTCCTGCCCACTCTGCCAACCCCGGGCTCCTGCCAGCCCACCTGCAGCCCTCTCCCCTCCCTGGTGGCCAGAGCGTTTCAGACAGGACAGGCAAATTGGGATTGGCCACTCCCCTTCTGCAAAGCCCCCTCAGGGACCTCCTCGGTCTTTTTCTGGCCACACTGCCCTTCCTGTGGTTTTGCAGCTGCTGTCTCTGCCTCATCCAGACTTAACCACACAGGAGGGCTCAGTTTGAGCATCAGCCCTCAGAAGAGGCTGTCTCTAACCCGCCGTCTGAGTTAGGCTGGTGTCCCCTGCAGCCGAGGCTGTACTTGCCCGGGCCAGCCTGGAAATGGGTGGAAGGAGGGCCTGGCTCTGTGTGGTCCCCACGGACTCCCAGGGCCAAGGGAGCTGCACCCTCAGTGTGTGGGATTAAGGTGAACGCAGGAGCCAGCTGCCACCCACCCTCACTGCGTCTGCGTCTCTCCCTGTCTGGGGGATTCCCGAGGGAAGGACATTCCTCAGATCCTTCTCACAGCGAGGTCACCTCACCCTCCTTGGCCTCAATGCCCTCCTGAGCCCACTGTCTCCTCCCCAGGACCGCCTTATTTTGGGATCCAACAGTGCCTACCTGTACGTGGGGCTTCCTTCAGAGCAGGGCAGTGAGGACCTCGGCAGGTTCGATTACGACTTCTTCCAGCTGGAGAGGGCGGCCGCGGAGGGAGTGAGCGCGCATGAGCTGGGTGAGGGCCCCACCTGGCTCCGGCCTCTCCCGTGGTGATCTGAGAGCAGGGGTTTCACACTCTATCTCTCTGCTTTCCTTAAGAAAATCATTTGTTTTGTCAAAGTCTAATGTTTACAAAATTGAATAATTTCCATATAGAGTGAGTGCATGTTAAAAAAACTCAAACTTTCCCTGATGAATGAGGGTAAAGATGGTTCAAAGGGCAGATAAGAAAGTGGGGTGCACAGCAAGTAAGGGAAGAATGCTGAGCTGGGGAAGCCAGTGAGTGGCCTATGGTCACCCCCAGGGGTCTGCTGGGCCGGCAGAACAGCGGCTTAACACGAGAGGAGCCGGTGGGCACCTGCTCTGGGCTGGAAATGTGTGGCCCAGAAGCACGCCCAGCCCTGGGCTTCTGAGACAGAAGCCCCCCTGCTCCCCTTAACTCAGCCCCCAGCAGGTGAGGGCCTTCAGAAGCGCTGATGCTGGCCGGCCACCTCTTTCTGTCTCAGGTAGGACTTTTGCACACCCTCCCCGCTCCTGCCCCAGGCCCCGGTTCACCCACTCAGGGCGGCTCTCCCAGAATCCAGGTGAGGCCGGACCCTGCCGAGATCTGCGGACTTCCTGGAGGGGCCCCACGCTTGCTCAGCACCGGCACTCTGCCTGAGCTCACCGTAAGGCAAACGCTGGTGGAAAGCGAGCAGACCCCCACTGCGTGAATGCGGGAGCGCTCCTCCCTGTTTCCCATAACACAGTGCTTCGCTCAGAATTTTAGCAAAATAAATGGATTTGAAATTCACCTCCTTCCTCTTCTTCTGCTGAAGCTATTGACTTTTATTTTTATTTATTTATTTATTTTTCACTCTTGTTGCCCAGGCTGGAGTGCAGTGGCACGATCTTGGCTCACGGCAACCTCTGCCTCCCGGGTTCAAACGATTCTCCTGCCTCAGCCTCCCGAGTAGCTGGGACTACAGGTGCCCACCACGACGCCTGGCTAATTTTTTTGTAATTTTAGTAGAGACAGGGTTTCACCATTTTGGTCAGGCTGGTCTTGAACTCCTCACCTCATGATCCACCCGCCTCAGCCTCCCAAAGTGCTGGGATTACAGGTGTGAGCCACTGTGCCCAACCAGTTCCTGACTTCTAAAAACAAACCAGCAAGACCCTGTGGTCCCAGGCTGACCGTGCCACTGCCCTTATATCGCTGGTAGGGCTGGTGGTGCCATGAACCAGCCCCAGACCCTGGCTCAGACCCTAGTGAAGACCTGTGTCCTCAGCAAGGCAGCAGCTGTGTGGGCAGTTTGGGGTCAGACCCCAGGGCCAAGGGCACTGTGTGCACCCACAGGACAGGGGTCCCTAAAGAGTTGGGAGGTCCTGATTAGAGGCAGTACTAGCCTGGGTTTGGGAGGGAGATTGGTCCTCCCATAATCTCCACAAGCCCCTCCTCAAGCCACCCCAAGTATAAGAGAAGAACAGGTCGCTTTCTGTGCCAGCCACAGCTTGAGGATGCGTCCCAGGCCTTCTGTGTAGACCACCAGGTCTCACCTCACCACACCCTCCTCAGTCTGCAGCCACCGTGGGTCACGGACCCTGAGACCAAGAATAAGAACTGGGGGCAGAGGGCCTTCTGCTTGTGGCCAGGATTCAAGGGTTGAAAGAAGCAGCTACATAAGGGGAAGCCAGACAGTGTCGTTTTCCTCTGGGTTTTTTTTTTTTTTTTTTTAATGACATGCTTGTAATTTTTAAATGTAGATATTTGATGAGCAGTTGAACGAATGAATGAATGAATAAGCATATAAATTTATACATGATCCCTGGGGGTGGTGTCTCATGCCTGTAATCCTAACACCTTGGGGGGCCAAGGCAGGAGAATTGCTTGAACCCAGGAGTTCAAGACCCAGCCTGGGAAACAAAGTGAGACCTCATCTCTACAAAAAATTTAAAAATTAGCCAGACGTGGTGGCTCACACCTGTAGTCCCAACTACTTAGGAGGCTGAAATGGGAGGATTGCTTGAGTCTGGGAGGTAGAGGCTGCAATGAGCAGAGATCATGCCACTGGACACCAGCCTGGACAACAGAGCCAGATAGCGGTCTCAAAAAAAAAAAAAAAAAAAAAAATGGGCCTGGCATGACGGCTCATGCCTGTAATCCCAGCATTTTCGGAGGCTGAGGTGGGCAGATCACCTGAGATCAGGAGTTCAAGACCAGCCTGGCCAACCTGGCAAAACCCCATCTCTACTAAAAATACAAAACTTAGCCAGGTGTGGTGGTACACAGCTGTAATCCTAGCTTCTGGGGAGGCTGAAGTAGGAGAATCGCTTGAACCCGGGAGGCGGAGGCTGCAGTGAGCCTTCATAGTAGAACAAGTGACTGACTGTCACCTCCATCGTGATTGTCACCAGGTGCTGCGGACAGTGGAGACGGCAAAGCAGACCCCAGCGTCCTGGCTGTGTTCCAGGACTACATCAAACTCAAGCCGCTGGTTGCAGAAGCCAATCAAATGAGTGAAGAGCTCAAGAAGGTAATTTATCTGGAGCCAGGGGCTGCGACGTCAGCTGCAGAAAGCACCTCAAGGCCTTGTGGGGCGGCGGTGCTTTCCCAAGGACTCTCGGGGAACTAGTGACAGAAGCCAGACTACCCAGCCCAGTCCCAGGTTTCCTTTCACCAACAGCCTACCAGGGCAACTGGGATCCCAGACCAACTCTTGCTGGCCATGACCAGGCCGTCCCAGACTGTCCTGGGGCCTCCTCGGGTCTGGGCACCCTGATGGCTGCTGTGCCACAGAGAAGACGCGGGCTGTGGACGCAGACAGCTCCCAGAAGACGTGCAATCACATCAGCAGGGACCTTGTCAGAGGTGTAATCAATTTGGTAGGGACTACAAGTGTTCGTTCCAGGATATGATGGAGAAAATCTGGTGGTCTGTCTTTCCTCTTAGTGGGAAATCCAAGGGACAAGGGTGGGACACCTTCTTAGAGAAAGTCTTGCCATGCATGATGGCTCATGCCTGTAATCCCAGCACTTTGGGAGGCGGAGGTGGGTGGATTACCTGAGGCTGAGAGTTCAAGACCAGCCCGACCAACACGGAGAAACCCGTCTCTACTAAAAAAAAAAAAAAAAAAAAAAAAAAATTAGCTGGGCGTGGTGGCACATGCCTGTAATCCAGCTACTTGGGAGGCTGAGGCAGGAGAATCGCTTGAACCTGGGACACAGACATTGTGGTGAGCTGAGATTGAGCCATTGCACTGCACCTGGGCAACAAAAGCGAAACTCCAGCACTACCATGCTTGGCTAATTTTTGTATTTTTATAGAGACAGGGTTTTGCTATGTTGCTGAAACTAGTCTTGAACTCCTGGGCTCAAGCGATCCACCCACCTCAGCCTCCCAAAGTGCTGGGGTGACAGGTGTGAGCCACTGTGCCCGGCCGAATGTAGGATTATTTAGTGAGAAGTGTTTCTTTTACCAGGGACTTCACATGGAATTGAAGGTGAAGAATTTAGCGTCATCAGATTCCAGGGGCTATGACCTAAAGAAGAAGGTGATGGTGAAGGTGACCAACCGCAGGACTCACGAGGTGAGCTCCACAATCACAGGCTACCTTTGCCAGCTGCAGCCCTGGAGACCCAGGAAAGGCAAAACGTATTCCAAGTATGAACCGGAGTTCTGGGGGCCAGGAGGACCCTCTTTCCTGCTCTCTGTCCTAGGTCCTTTCCCTCACAGAAGCAGCTCCTGGGAGCTTCCTAACTTCCTGCACTGAGCATCTGGTCAAGCTGAATATGACTCAAAGGCTTTTGTACCAGGAGGGAGCCTGGGAGTTACCCAAGTGGTAGTGGTGTCTGTCCATGTACATATGTGCATGTATGTGCAGGCGTGCGTGTGTGTGCACATGAATGCACAAGCTGCCTTTCTGCAGCAATGTGAAAAGCCACACTTCCAGGGACTCCAGAAAAGGCTTTCACCAACTCGCTGGCTGATGCACTTGACGCCACTATCAGGAACGTCCATTTTAGGAACTTAAGACCCTGCTTCCCCATGTCTGCCCTCAAAGGAGGAAACAGAAAATGCAGGCCCATCTTGCAGTGCCCCTGTGCACACACCAGGCGTCTGGAGCAGCCCTCAGGCTGCACCTCCGGCTCCCACCCTGGGATGCTGCCTCTCTACTCAGCAACTGGGGCTTCTCTGAGTTTCACTTTTCTGCTCTTCTGCTCATTGCACAAAAATTGCCAAAATGTTTTGGGTCAAGACCAGTTTTTTTTTAAAGCTTTTAAAAACTGAATGAGAGAAGATGATAAGCATATATGTGCATGCAATGTGGTCAGCACCCGTGTGCCCACCACCTTGTCCACAGGGTTTCGTGCTCTAGGTGCTGGGGCTGCCAATCCTGCCCCGAGGAGGAAACTGAGCCAGGATCCTCCTGGAACCCAGCTCCTCAGAGACCGGCCCCTTTCATGCAGGTCTGTGTGACTTCCTGGGGAGTCAGACTGGACTTCTCCATGTTCCACGAGGCCTTGCGAGGGGCCCCTCAGTGTGTTTGTGCTTTTCATTTTTCTCTTTTTCCAGCAAAAGCCACTGGCGCAGACTGGCTCTGATGCCCGGCAGTCTGTGTGCTTCTCTCGGGCCAGGCTTCCCCAGAAGTTGGCTTGGCAGTTTCCTGTCTTAAGAAAAATTGTAATTCTAAAAGTCCCTTTTCCATGCTCTTCTGTTTATTTTGTATTATAGTCTAAGGCAAGTGGGAAAATCTCTAGCAGAAGGATTACTGAGCGCACACGAAGGCGCTCATGACAGCCTGCCTGTCATTTCCAGAAACAGGGCAGAAGATGGTGTTTTCACATTATCACTGGGAGAACTGCATGGGAGAGCTGAGGGCTGGATTCATTCTGCAATGTCATTTTCCCTCAGCCAGCATCCTGTCACCTGCACAGTAGCTGTCTGATAGGGTGGCTTCCGCTTACACAGCAGGCTCACTTTCAAGGGGGCTGCACAGTCTGGGTTTTTTTTCTTATGAAGATATGAACCTTACCAATCTGCCATCATCAAGGCTGTCCATTTTTACATTGAAACAAGTAAGAGAAGGCCCGGCACGGTGGCTCACACCTGTAATCCCAGGATCTGCGGAGGCCGAGGTGGTGGATGACTTGAGCTCAGGATGACTTGAGACCAGCTTGGGCAACGTGGTGAAACCCCATCTTTACGAAAAATACAAAATTAGCTGGGTATAATGGTGAGCACCTGTAGCCCCAGCTGCTGGGGAGGCTGAGGTGGAGAATGACCTGAGCCTGACAAGGTCGAGGCAGCAGTGAGCTGTGACCATGCCACTGCACTCCAGCCTGGGCGACAGAGCAAGACCCTGTTGCAAAAACACAGGTAAGCTTAGTACCAGTGACCTTTCTTCAGATGAAGCCCTGCTCTCCTCAGGAGGCCTCAGAAAGGCTGTAGTCTGGGGGTCTCTGTGACATGGTGCAGAGACGTGTGCAGTGCACGCAGGACAGGCACCTCTGAAGACTAGATGGCCAGATGGCCAGCAGACAGCTGTGGGTCCCAGCTACAGACACGAGTGGCACTTTGTTGGCTGACCCCGTAAGTGCTCACCTATCCTCCCACCCACCATGTGAACTGTGGCTGCTGCTGCAGCACTCAGGGAAGACACAGTGTCCATGTGCAGTTTTGTGCAACTGTTGGAGTCACATCACGGACAAGCTCAGGAGGAAACCAGGGCTCCGTGTGAGGCCTGGGAGGGTTTTCCGACCTTGAAATGCTGCCAGCTTGTGGTTACTTTTCAGCAGAATTCACCCAAGAGCTGTTGGCTCGGGTGAGCAGCACATCCCTCCAGGGACCTCGGAGCCTGCAGAGCCCACCTGGGAGCAGGAGTGAGTCAGCCTGGGCTCCCAGCCTGTCCTGGAGCACCGCTGACCTGCTTCCTCCTCAGCCCAAGGATGACATGCAGTTTTAACTGACACCAGGCCCATGGTCCGATATACACAGGTAATGAGGCAGTGAATTCATGTATCATCTAGATTCCCATGATCTTATTTCCCTAGCCTAAAGTCTTTAAGAAAAACCAGACAGCTACTCAGGCTGAAGCTGGAGGGCCGACAGAGCTCAGGAGTTCGAGGCTGCAATGAGCTATGACTGGGCCACTGCGCTTCAGCCTGGGTGACAGAGGGAGAACACATGTCTTAAAAAGAAAAGAAACACACACAAACAGAAAAACCACAATGACTAGAGCTCCTGCTGTTCCCTGCCGCCCCACATTCTTATTTCACTGTGGTGCCGCCTCTAGGAGAGAACTATGGTTCTTCACTCTGAGGCCAACAGAAAAGGCTGCAATCTGTTTCCAGAGTAGAGTGTCCTTTTTATGAAGATACATCATACATACAGAGAATGATTTATCTGTTGATTTCTGTTTTTGCTTTTCAAGTTGCCCAGAAAAGGAGTTGCTAGTTCTACCTGACATCTATGGTCTAAAAACTACCTAACTGGAATCCTGTGGCTTCAGGTTTCGTCTCTCTCCAGAGCCAGTGATGACAGCGGGCCCGTCCTCACCCAGTGAAGAGGAAGACAGCGCAGGCTCTTGTCCTGGATTTGCTGTCCGCTGGGTGTGCACTCCTGAACGAGGAATGAGACCTGCCAGGGCCTCTGCAGAAGGGAGCTCAGAATGCCCGCTGTGCTTGGCTAGCAGGGCTGTGATGAGTGTCTCCTTTGCATGTGGCTGTGTGTGTACTCCAGTCATGGCGGGGGAGCCACTTCTCAGCTCTTCTCCAGACTAACTACCCCGCATCATCTTCCATGGCTGCTGTTAATGAATTACCAGGCTCATTAAATGACACAAATTTACTACCTTCTAGTTCTACAGATGAGAAGTCCAAACTGGGTCTCGCTGGGCTAAAAGCAAGGTGTCCACAGGGCTGTGCTGCTGTCTGGGCCTGAGGAAGAGCAGCTGTTTCCCAGCCCTTTCCAGCTTTCAGGGCCACCTCCCTCCACCTTCAGAGCCACCACATGCGGCTCTCTGACCCCACAGGCATTGTCAGTTCTTTCTGACCCTCTCTTCTGCCTCTCTCTGCCACACTGAAGGCCCCTGTGATTTCATTAGGGCCACCTGGAAAATCCAGGCTAATCTCCGTATTTTAAGGTCGGCTGATGACAAACCTTAATTTCCATTTGCCATGTAAAGTAACATATTCACAGGTTCTGGGGATTAGGACGTGGGCATCTCTGAGGACCACTCTGCACACCGCAATCCCCAAGTCTTCATTTCTTCTGAGACGGCCTGCTTTCTAACTCCTCCATCATCTCCTCTAAGTCACTTCCTAGGCTCACGCAGTGCTGAAGTAGCAGGTCCAGGAATGAATATGGTATTCTTGACCTCATAAAGCTAAGTTTGGAGAGAGTGGTGTATGGTCATGAGTACCCCAAACCCAGTCAATGGAGGGAGCGTGCTGGGAAAAATCAGAGCGACGAATTGTCAGAGCAGCAGATGAACTCAAACACTGCTGACTTACCTCTGTGTTTCTAGGTGTGGATATGGTCAAAAGCCAAGTTCATCAATAGGAAATTCCTAATGGAGGAACTTTACCAGCACTTTCTAGATGGAGATGACAGCCCTGTGGCTCAAGATGACGACCTTTTCTGGGATCCTGTCGAGGTCATCCACTTGGGCTCAGCTCACATCTGGCTCCAGTCGCTGGTCTACTGCGTGAAGCCGGAGGAGCAGGCGGAGTTTCTGAACTGTGACGGGCTGGAGGAGGCCGTGCTGCATATCTGCATGGCACCCTGCTCCCCCACAGGACAGTGAGTGTCTCCTTCTCCCCCTTGCCTAGTTCTGGGTCAGTCACACATAGAAACTCCAGAGCAAGCCTGAGTTCTCCTGACAGGGCGGTCAACATGGGACCCTGAACAGGTCATTCCTAAGACAAATGAATGAGCTCATTCATTTACCATTTGGCCGCAACAAATTTGATTTTTACTACAGCGGCCAAATCAGCTGGCCTGGAATGCCCAACCACATCCAAGACAGCCCAGCACTGCCCGGGGGGACTGAAGGAATGAGGGAGACATCTAGCAAAGAGGCAGGTGTAGCGGAAGGAGCCTTGGACAAAACCAAAAGAGCTGGGTGGGTTCCAAACAACAGACCCTCAGGAGAGAAGCCAAGCGGGCTGCAGGGCCTCCCCAGCCACACTCCCTCCTGGCCTGTGAGCCTGGCATCTGCCACGTAGGATGTTTCCCATGCTGAAGGCCCCACCTGCTTCAAGAGCCAGAAGTAGCAGCCGATTTTCCAGCTCCCCGCTTTTCTCCAGGTAGGGATTGCGATGCCTGACCTCATTCTGTGCTGTCGCCTGACCTTTCTGTGGGCACAGGCTTCGTTTTGAGCTATCAGCTCTGTCCTAAACGTCGCCTCATTACCCTTTACTGTCCTCTCTGAATACTCATCTGTTTTTCTTCTTTAGACCACAGTTTTTACAAAAGGCCAAGTCTTTTAGCAATCCTAAGTCAAGGGGCTGGCAGGGGGCCTGGTCTGAGTGCCAAGGCCCTCACAGGCACCATGAGCACTCAGTGCAACCTTTTTATTTCCTGAAGAAGAAATCAGCTCAAGAAGAGAACCTCAAGGTTCCATGACCAAGAAGCCAAGCTGACCAGCAATTCACTGTCTTTACTCCAAGCATCTCTCTGGTCATTTGGCTACCTGGAGCTTCCAGGCTGCCCAGCAAGTTGTATTTCCTGTTGAAATTAATAAAGTAGCAGTCCGGTTTATAGGTTTCAGACTTGGAGAGCCTGGTTGATATGACAGTGGTCCCTTGTTGGAAAGCTGCCCGTCAGTTTCTGAGCTGATAGGCCTGGGGTTGTCTCTGGACTACAAAGAAACCAAGGAAAAAGCAAGATGACAGCTTGACAGTCTGCATCTGGGCAGTTGGCTGCCTTTCCCACTCTGTCCCCTGGGACCTCCCTAAATCTTCAGTGCGAGTTTGGCATCCACGTCTGTGTGCATCTATCACAGGAGGCTGTTTATTTTCCTCTTTCCTCCAGGCAGGGAGATCCTTGAGAAGGTCCTGATCTTAAACCTTGACGTGCCAGGGTAATGGGCTCTTGTCCAGTGTCTTTGAACTCCACTGTTGGCGATACTACCTATCCTGTCTTCAGTGAAATTAGCTCTCTTCAGGATTCTATTTAATTCCCTTAACATCACTATCTTAACCTGCCAATCTTAACCCAGCCTAACCCGAGGCCAACATTCCTCTCTCCTGTTTGTAGAACACATGGCGAGGAGGATATGGTTATTGACCCTTTGGAGCTGCTGGGCAAGAGGATGGATTTCCAGATTCACATTGTCCGGTGCCTTGGTATCAAGTGGATGAAGGAAGATGCATAGTAGGGCATTCAGATAGGGTACCCACCTGCACCGAACCCAGCCACACACACCAACCTGCCCTGCAGCTCCTGGGGGAGGCAGTGCAGTCTTTCTTCAAGTTTTAAAAATGAGCTTATCACACAACATTTTCTGAAGTTTCTCTGAAACTTTTCCTCATCTATTTAATAGAGGAGCCACATGTCCCTCCAGGTCTCTGGCCCGGGGTCAGTGTGTGCTGAACTCTTACAGAACTGAAGTAGAAATTCTAAGTATCAGAAAGACTCTCATAAAACTGTATTATCTAAGCAACAGTTTGAGTTGTAGTTGGAAACAAAAGGACTGTATGATATGGCAGAAGCACCGGATGTCTTTAAACTAATTAGGCTAAAAGGATATTAACAGACAAGGCAGAGCGGATGCAGGGGCTGATGCCTGTAATTCCAGCATTTTGGGAGGCCAAGGCTGGCAGATCACTTGAGATCAGGAGTTTGAGACCAGCCTGGCCAACATGGTGAAAACCCATCTCTACTAAAAATACAAATATTAGCCGGATGCAATGACATGGGCCTGTAATCCCAGCTACTAGGGAGGCTAAGGCAGGAGAATCGCTTGAACCTGTGAGGCGGAGGTTGCAGTGAGCTGAGATCACGAAAATGCACTCCAACCTGGGCAACAGAGTGAGACTCCATCTCAAAAAAGAAAAAAAAAAAGGCAATAAAGGGAGACTTTGTAGAACAAAAAACAAACTACCACCTCACATGGAAAATTAACAATTTTTGATTATCAAAGTAGAAGGGATGTATTGAGATCCGTTTTTGTTTTTTGAGACAGTCTCGCTCTGTCGCCCCGGCTGGAGTGCAGTGGAGCGATCTCAGCTTACTGCAGCCTCCGCCTCCTGGGCTCCGCCTCCTGAGCAGCTGGGACTATCGGCATGCACCACCACACCCACCTAATTTTTGTATTTTTTAGAGATGGTGTTTTGCCATGTTGCCCAGGCTGGTCTTGAACTCCTGGGCTCAAGCAATCTGCCTGTCTCAGCCTTCCAAAATGCTGAGATTACAGACATGAGCCATTGTGCCCGGCCTGGCCTTTTTAAAAAAAAGAATACTGTCTATAATAGTGATGATATCCATATTGAATAAATAAGACGTTGGATGTGTAAACATGAGAATTATAGGTCATCTTTTATCTGACACATGGGCTGTAAATCTCTGGCTCATCTGTCCTCCTTCTTTACAAATGTGTCCCTTCTGGTTTTAAATTGTTTTATATTTTTCTCAGGTACAGAATTTATGACCTTTCAAATACCACTATACCAAACCTGTATGGAAAAGCGTGAATCCACAAATTGAAGAGACCGTCCAATTTACAGCCTTAAATGCATCTCAGGAGTTTCTGAATTATTTGCAGACAAATGCCCTTATTGTTGACCTATGCGGCCTTCAAGGTACCTTGCTTACTTATTCTCTCACGTGGTGCGTTCTTCCATGGGACATAATGCCATACATTTAGGGCTGCAGACGAGGTAAAGGACAGGGTGGTCAGGGTCCTAACAGCACAGGGCCAGAGCCATCTTTTCCCCTGGGTTCTGGTCCTGCAGGGTGATCACACGCTTTAACAGCTTCGCACATGACACTGGAGCTGGGCAACTGAGACATTTCTTTCTTTGATTGTGTCTCTCCCCACTACAGAAGGCTGCACCGAGCTGAGCTGCAATCAGCTGGGCCTCATGGTCACAGGTAAAGGCCACATCCTGGTAGACACCAAGAAAATTTCCACTGTGAAGGAAACAGGCCAGGTGTGTACATATGACGTTAAAATAGGCATCACAGGTGGCTAGAAAATCTCTAATGACAGCTGCTTGACGTTCCTTAACAGTCGTTTTCTTTACTGACTCCCATGTAACCTGAGGGGCATTAACTCTGCTCACCATACACGCGCCCCCATCCCATTTGATTTTCCCATGGTAGTGAACACCGCCAGTCTCAAAGGAAATGCAGATGATACAACAAAAGACTAAACTGACAAGCTTTTTCGTAGGCTGCATCAAACCACATACCAGAACTTTATCTGAAGCTGTTCAAGTTAGAGCAGGAGACAGAACTGCTCAGAAACATTAACAGAGCCCTCTGAGAGAACGTGCTTCTCAAAGAATCACTTGCGAAAACTGCTTCTGGTCAAGGTAAGGGACTGCTCAAGTCTTGGCTGTTTAGCTTATCCCTGGACTCCTACATTGGGGATGTGTATTTGTCTTTTAAGAAACAAACTTTTAAATGAGTTAATTCATATCTTGTTTCATGAACAAAAAATGCAGGACATTTTTTTTCTTCTGCCCTGTGAGATCTCCTTTGGGTAGATCCAAACTGGTGCCTGATAACTGCTGACGTCATAGAATGCCACCAAAATAAATAAATATAGAGATGCCTCAAGAAGTAGATGCATAAATAAATGTTACCTTTTCTTTCCACCTCAGCCCATAAGCCTTCCAACACTCTGAAGATAAGCGGGATGACAGCGCAACTGCCATCAGCCAGAGAGATGAGCCACATGTGTACACAGCAAGCCAGCTATGGCCGAGAATTTGCCAAGGCTCTCAAGGTGTTCTACCAAAGCATGAACACGGCAAGAGGGCAGCTGTTCAGACTGAGGCAGTACAAACCTCCTGTAAGTAACCGGAATCCTGGGAGCAAACAGAATTTCTTCCCATCAAACTGAGACATTTGATGTATTTCCTGAGCTTGGAGACGTGTATCTTGAAGCAGAAGAGCAAGTGGAGGTGGCTGTGCTTGACTTGCTCTGTAGGCGTGGATCTACGGCAACTATATGGAATTGCACAAGCAATTCTCAGGCCGCCATCCGGCTTTGCTCTGACCTTTTTATTTAGGGCACAACTGGCTGGCTCCATGCAACCACGGAACCAGGTCACTGCAGGATTGTTATCCATTCACTTTACAATATAATATACAGACTACCCCATTTATCATTATAAAACCAAATGCAATTTATCATATTAAGAGATTATAAGAGAAAATAATTTGATTACTTTGACAGATGCAGAAAAAGCATGTGACAAAATTAAACGTCCTGTAACAAGAAAAGTCCTTGGCAAACTAGGAATAAAGTGCACATTCCTTAATCTGATAAAGGCAATCTTAGACACACACACTGGATAAAATGCTTAGTGATGAACGACTGAAAGCTTTTCCTTTCAGATCAGGGGGCCAGGGAAACCAGCTTTCTTTACCTCCGTCCTTTAGCTTCTAGCCAGTGCAGCAAGGCAAGAAATATAAAGTATAAGGATTGGAAAGGGAAAGAAAAGTAATTACAATAATAGCGTACACTTATGTAACACTAAGTGCTTTTACTGACTCAATTCTCACAACAACCCTATGAGGCAGGTACTGTTATTAGCCTTATTTTACAGTTCATGAATCCAAGGTACAAGAGAGGTTACATAATGTATCTAAGGACACACAACTCATGAGTGGCAGGGTGGAGGTCTAGACCCTGCCGGTGCTGTTTCCCAGTCTATACTCTTCCCTCCACACCGTGCTGCCTCTAGTATTATCCCCAGATGACGTGCTTGTATAGACAGGAAATCCCCAAGAATTTATAGATAAATTGCAAAATTGCTGGATACAAAATCAAGACTTAAAAATTAACTGTATTTGAATGTAACAGCAGCAAGCAGAAAATTATTTTTAAAATAAAAGATACCATTTATAATTGCATCAAATATATGAAAATACTTAGGCCTATAGCTGACATAAAATATGTAAGGGTTATATGGAGAAAATTTTAAAACTTGCTTGAGAGATGTTTAAAAGAATATAAATAGAGAGAAGCTGCTATGTCTCCATGGTTGGGAAGATTTGTTATTGTAAATCTGTCAGTTCTCCCCCAAAAGTCAGCATAATTCTAACCAAATCTAACAGAACCTAACAAGATAATTTTACAATTTGTATGGAAATGCGAAAGCAAAAACTAGCCAAGATGAGGCCAAGATCCAAGAACAAGGCAGAAAGACTTGCCCTACCTGATATCAGCATTTCATTCGAATGACTGTAACAGAGAGTTGGCCCAAAGGTAGATAAGATAACCCAAGAAGGCTCAGAAACAGATTTATTCAGGACTACAGACTTGATATACAACCAAGTGGAACTGCAAATCAATGTGGCAAGGATGGACTTTTCAATACACAGTGCTAGGAGAATTAGAAATATGTAAGGGGAAAAATAAAACTGGATTCCCATCTAAAGCTATCCCAGAAATCAATTTCAGGTAAGAATTAAGGAGCTAAATGTAGAAGGCACAACCCTAATGCTTTTATTTATTTAAATATTTTAAAAATAAAGATGGTATCTTATGTTGCCCAGGTTGGTCTTGAACTCCTAGCTTCAAGTGATCCTCTGGCCTCAGCCTCCCAAAGTGCTGGGATTACAAGCATAAACCACCATGCCCTGCCTCTAATGCCATCAGAAGAGACTTTAGGAGACTGTCTTTACAACCTCACAGTAGAAAAGGATTTCTTATGCATTACACACACACACACACACACACACACACACACACACACACACACCCCTAGCTTTAAAGAGGGAGCACATATACACACACACACCCCCCTAGCTTTAAAGAGGGAGGCTGATCAATTCATCTAAATTAAAATGGTGAACTTTGGTCCAAAATGAAATAGCCAAAAAAAATGGGAAAAGTTCTTTGCAACACATTTAACATATAATGAACTATTTACAAAATAAAGAACTACTACTAACCAAAACAAAAAACAGACAACCAGATAGGAAAAAAAAATGGTCAAAATACTTGAACAGGAACTTTACAAAAGAGAAAATTAAAAATACCAACAAATATATGGAAAAGTGCTTAATTGCATAAATACTAATTGGTACCACAATGAGATACCATTATTAACCTTCCATACTGGCAAAAAAATTAAAAAGCCTGACAATATCAAGTTTTGGTGAAGATATGAAATAACAAACTCTCATGTATGGCTGAAAGGAGTATAAACTGGTACAACCAACTTAAAATCACTTGGCATTTACCTATTAAAAGTTGAAGATACTATAACCTAGAAGCATGCAATTCAACTCTTCCTTCCTTCACGAGGTGAACTGGTTCTGCCGAGATTTAAGCCCTAATGCCCTCCCTCAGGCAGAGAGGTTCTCAAAGTAGCTTCAGCAGCATCTAGGAGCCGATTAGAAATGCAAATTCCAGGGCCCTCCCCAGACCTACTGAATCAGAATCTCTGGATGTGAGGCCTAGTAACATGCATTTCAACAAACCCTCTCCATGATTCTGCCTGAAAGTTTGAGAACCTACTGCACTAAGGCATCTGACATGAAATAAGCTATATCTGTCATACATATCTAGGATGATACTAGTAACACACCATTCCTCAAAGAATTGAGAGTTACTCAAATCACTTCTGTGGTTCAGATGACGGGTCAGCTGAAAAAGACTACAGAAATCTAGTTTATGTGCACTGCTGTTCATAAGACCCTCCCATAACAGCCCCAAACTGGAATCATCCCTAATGTATGTTCCCAGAAGGTGGGTCAGTTTTGGCCCCCTCTACACTGCATAACACTACATCGCCATGAAAATGAACAACAGCCACAGGCAACAAGAATAGTGTTCCCACAGTGATGGAAACCGAGTTACAAAAGATGACATCCAATATGAGTCTATAAACATTCAAAGATGGGTAAAATACACTGGGATATAGTCCAGGTGGCAAAACTATTCAGAAAGGCAAGAAAATGATTACCACACAAGTCAGGCTAGCAGTTCCTTCTGGGATAGGGGGAGAAGGTGTGACAGGAGGAGCTTGAGGCAGTGGGCTCTCCAGAGCAGGTGTGTTCACTTTAACTAGGCCTCGGTATCTCCCAATAAAAAAGAATAACCGGTTAAAGACACCATAAACAAAGTCTCAAATAAACCACAGCCTGGAAAATATAATAGTATTGTTTAGCAACCATTAGTGTTCAAATTAAATAATTATCATTTTTTTCTTTGAGACAGAGTCTCACTCTGTTGCCCAGGCTGGAGTGTAGTGGCACGATCTCGGCTCACTGCAACCCCCGCCTCCCAGGTTCAAGCAATTCATCTGCCTCAGTTTCCCGAGTAGCTGGGACTACAGGCATGCACCATCACGCCTGGCTAATTTTTGCATTTTTAGTAGAGACCAGGTTTCACCATATTGGACAGGCTGGTCTCAAACTCCTGACCTTGTGATCCACCTGTCCCGGCCTCCCAAAGTGCTGGGATCACAGGTGCGAGCCACTGCATCTGGCCAACAATTACTTTTACGATAGAAAAAAAAGAGAGAGAGAAAGAATATGTTGGAAAACACATTAGAAAAAATCGCCAAAGGATCTGAACAGGATTTCACTAATACTCAGGGAAATACAAACTAAAACACACTGCCATGTCACACTGCCTACTCTCTGCCATTCTCATTTTCAGTGAGTGCGTCACCACCTCCTCCACCATTTGTCTCCAGCACTCTGCCCCAGAGCACCCCAGTTCTCGGGGGGACTTGCCTCCACAGGTTAGGGGAAGCATCGGCAAAACCCTGCCCATGGGAGAAGCTGACACCCAGTGGCTCCTTAATCCTCCTTCTACAGTATTAAAAGACATATGTAACATTCCCGTTGAAAAGATCTGAATGATCTCACCAGTTTTCCCTACTGGCAGTAGCTAAGGGTCATTCGGGAAGCCTTTCTGAAACAAAGCTGCTCCTAGGTGACTCAGTGCCTCTGCTGGCAACTTTCCAAGGCAGGTTTCTGTCCCAGAGGGAAAGCTTGCTGGGTACCCCTCACACACAAGACTTCTACTCTCATGACACAAAGTCTATCACTATCATTTTTTCACTTTTTCTTTTAGGAAGACGATCAACTACTTCGACCATTTGTATGCCAACAATCACAGATGTTTAAGGATTTGGGGGATCTACTTGAATCCAGCTTGTGAAAACTGAAAAATGATGTTGCTCTTATAGTGAAAAAGAAGAGAGAATATTTACTGCATATGAAATAGTGAAGACACACCAACTGAAAACTGAAAATATTCGAGCTTTGAGTTGTGAAGATTATTTGTGTAGCTAATGAGCCTACCTCATTTCCCACTTACTTTAACCTATTTCTTCTACCACTTTTAAGCAAAACTGTCCTTCAGTGTGATTGCCCATCATCTCTATAACCTAATGGCTGCTTGAGTGGCCTCTGTTCCTGGCGCATAGAGAGGACAACACACACTGGAGTCTTTTTGCGGCTGGAAGGTGGCAGGAGGGACAGAGTGAATGAAGAGCCTGGAGCTCTGGGATCAGACTGCCTCGGGTTAGATCCTGCTGAAGTCCATCACTTATCAACTGACTTCCCCTCTCTAAGCCTCTCTTTCTTTATTTGTTTTATGGGAAGGATAACACTATTTACTGAAAATGGTTAATGAACATAAAGCACCAGAACAGTGCCTGACACACAGATGTGAGTGATAAGCATTTGCCATTAGTATTCTTATGGTAAACAGTTCAAAACTGCAAATGAAACTCTTCTATTTTCTTGCTGTCGGACCTACAGACAATGGTTATTTCAAGTCCCTCATTTTGTATCTTGCTCTGAACAAGTCTGAATTCTACCTCCACTTATTTTTCTCTTCTCATATGTTTACTTGAAATACTGTTATGTTCAATTTTTTAAGCAGCAGGAGTGCCCGTATGATGGGACCTTTTCAGTGCAGGGCCCGTGGTTCGGGGATTACAATTGTTAGTAAGAAAATCTACTAGGAGTTAGTCTATCTTGAAGCCAATCTTGATTCCACAAATTGATTGATGGGTCTTAGTCAAGAATTGACAGATACTGAGCACTCTTGGAGAGGCTGTAAAGAAATCTTTTGTGAGTAGGCAAGGGACATGACAGGCACTTTTCAAAAGACAACATACATGCGACCAACAATCATATGATGAAAAAAAGCTCAACATCACTGACCATTAGAGAAATGCAAACCCAAGTATCTGACTGGTACGAGATACTATCTCATACCAGTCAGAATGGCTATTAAAAAGTCAAAAAATAACAGATGCTAGCCCGGGCACAGTGGCTCACGCCTGTAATCCCAGCACTTTGGGAGGCCGAGGCAGGCAGATCATCTGAGGTCCGGAGTTCAAGACCAGCCTTACCAACATGGAGCACCTCATCTTTACTAAAAATACAAAATCAGCCACGCATGGTGGCTCATGCCTGTAATCCCAGCTACTCGGAGGCTGAGGCAGGAGAATCGCTTGAACCCAGGAGGCGGACGTTGCAGTGAGTCAAGATCGTGCCATTGCATTCCAGCCTGGGCGACAAGAGCGAAACTCCGTCTCAAAACAAAACAAAAAAAAAAACCATGCTGGCAAGGTTGCAGAGAAAAAGGAATGCTTATACACTGTTGGTGAAAGTGTAAATTAGTTCAACCATTGTGGAAAACTGTGTGGTTATTCCTCAAAGACCTAAAAACAAATACTTTCTGACCCAGCAATCCCAATTCTGGGTATATACCCAAAGGCATATAAATCGTTCTATTATAAAGATGTGCACATGTGTATGTTCACTGCAGCACTATTCACAATAGCAAAAACATGGAATCAACCTAAAAGTCCATCAATAGTAGATGGGATAATGAAAATGTGGTACATATACACCATGGAATACTATGCAGCCATAAAAAATGAGATCATGTCCTTTGCAGGAACATAGATGGAGCTGGAGCCCATTATCCTCAGCAAACAAACACAGGGACAGAAAACCAAATACCACATGTCCTCACTTATAAGTGGAAGCTAAGTGATGGGAACACATGGATACACAGAAGGGAACACCACACACTGGGTCCTCTCAGAGGGTGGAGAGTGGGAGGAGGGAGAGGGTCAGGAAAACTAATGAGTACCAGGCTTAATACCTGGGAGACAAAATAATCTATACAATAAGCCCCCATGGCACTTTACCTATAAAACAAACCTGCACATGTACCCCTGAACTTAAAAAGTTAAAAAGAGAAAAAAGAAACCTTTTGTGACCAAAGACAGACTTTTTTTTTGAGATGGAGTCTTGCTCTGCCACCCAGGCTGGAGTGCAATGGCACAATCTCAGCTCACTGTAACCTCCGCCCCCCAGATTGAAGCAATTCTTCTGCCTCAGCCTCATAGACACTACACCCAGCTAATTTTTGTATTTTTAGTAGAGATGGCGTTTCACCATGTTGGCCAGGCTGGTCTCAAACTCCTAACCTCAGATGATCCAGCCGCCTCAGCCTTTCAAAGTGCTGGGATTACAAGCATGAGCCACCATGCCAGCCCCAAAGACAGATTTCTACTAACAAATAGTAGTGATGATGCTGAAACTTAGTAAGTGCATACACCATGTGCCAGGCACTAATCTAAGTGCCAAATATGTTAGCTCATTTCATTCTCACGATAATTCTATAAGGTTGAGTAACTTGCCTAGGCCACGTAAGCACAGGGGCCAATGTTAGAGCCTGCATTCCTAACCGTGATGGCCGGCTGCCTGACAGTGCAAGACTGTCCCTGGGAGTCCTGGCTGATTTGTGTAAAAAATTAGGAAGGAGGAAATAAGATGTGACAACCTCAATCCTTACTCCCTAAAATATGAAGTTAAGGAAGGTCAAATGTGATAAGGAAGCTGTACTGACAAGAGAGGCTGTCACCGGCTCCGAAAAGGAACCTCCCTAGAAAGACAAGGAAATCTGGGCTAGTGACTTCGACTTCATAAGGATTCATAAGGGAGGTACGGGTTTTGCTTGCAGCTCAGGTCCTGACAACACACACGAGTGAACCAAGAAAACTGCTACAACTCTGGAGCCCAAGTGTGGAGCACCTCGTGGTGACGGCCAGGACAGTGTCAGCAAAGGCATCACCGAATCCTGGGAAGACTGTCAGTGAGACAACAGTAACTGCAGAGGCTGGGTGGACTCCAGTTCTCTCAGCCTGGCCACTGGGAGCAGGAATGGCTTCCACCTGTTAAACTGAGCCTCAGAGTTTTGGACAATTTGCAGTCTGCTGGCCTGAGGTGAGTCTTATACTTTCAGCAAATGAGAGCAGGCAGAACCTTGGGGGATTAAAAGGAATATCAGGATGAGACACACTTGTACCTCAAGCCAGAGGATGGGGCACACTGCTACCTTCAGAATCAGAGTCAATGCTCAAGCATACGTTGCAAAGCTAGAAACAGGGACAGAATACGTAGCTTCACCTAGTGGTTCCCAAATGCATATCAAAAACACAGGGGCTCTGACCTCCAGACCTCCTGAATGCAAACTCCTGGAGGCACTGAGGAGCCTATTATTGTTTTGTGATTCAGATGTGCAGCTAGTCATGGGTTCTATTACTCCTTGACTGCTTTCTAATTTTAAAGCTGATAAAACCTTTTCTAAGGTCCCACAAGTTAGGGAAGAGCTGAGACCAAAATCTGTATCTTGTGATGACCAGGCCAGGACAGAGGAAGCAGGGTTAGGGTGGGCAGTACTGCCACCAAGAATCCCCTCTTCAAGTCAGATACCCCCCCTTCTTCTGCACAGGCAGAACTGAAGGGTCTCCCAACACGAATCATATTCCTACATAGTTTATGTTCCTCACTTTTTAGTAGAAATTCCATAAACGAGTGGCTGTCTTGTTTAGGCAATGAACAACACGATCACTATGTATATATGTTTATTATATGCTTATCACAGAAGAAAAAGTCCTTTGCCTTATTTTATGGCTTCCACGTAAAACTAGTTAAAATATAAAAGTCAATTAGAGAAAAATTCTGCTTAACCAGTGAAAATAGATAGCAACTTATAAGCTGTATCCTTAAACCTAATCACAGATATAGAATTAGGTAAAGATAAAATGATAAGTCCACTTATTGGCAAGAAACAGGTTAGACCCCTTAAGCAGCATGTTTCTACCACTTACAAATACATAGGCAGGTCCAAAAACACCATTCAACTGACAACCCTGAATTTTCCAACTTAGGTAACCATCCATAATCACTGTAGATAGGTGAAAAACTAGGCAAAAATAGGAAAAAGTGTAGTTTCATTTAGCAAAGGCTCAAGACAGCACGTAGAGAAACACGGAAGGTGAGATTCCTTCACCCTGCAGCGATGCGAGCAGCAGTTACTGCCCTGCACTAACGCTGGTCTGCGCACCCACAATGAGCAATGCTGCTGACAACACAGCCTGGGACACCTCCTCCCTCATTAGACCTGCCAGCTCATTCACAGACATCTACCAGGAACACAATGAAAAAAATATGTCAAATGTGAGTTCTCCCTCATAAGCAATAAAATCACAGAATCAGCTGAGATTTCAAATTTAGCATAAGCTAGGACAATTTCCTGCTTTTAATATTTTAGATTTGACAAACGTTTCCACATATAGTTAGAGAGGCTTACAGAATAATTTCAAATATCAAATAGAGAAGCTGTTAATTCGTGGACTTTATGACTTCAGTTAATTCTTCAAATGTTTAGACTTCAGAGCTGCTAATGACACTAAACTCAATACCATGTTTGTTGAGTCTGTCAATCAACTTTGTTTTGGAGAAAGCTCCTCCAGGTGTGAAGACCCCGCCCCTGTAAAACAATAACAAGAGAAAACAGTGCACACAGCTCCTCTCCAGTCTTCTCCTATTTGATCGGCCTCGCTAACAAATTGCTACAGAATTCATGAAAACCCGAGTCTTCATGCTAATCATGGCTACCTTTGATTCCATTCCTAAAATCAGCCCAATCAATATTAGGAGAAACTAGCACCACAGCCAACGCTGTCTAGATGGGTTCCGTTCCTGGCAATGCTGTCTCCATTCTATGTGTGTGTTCAAGGGGCACACTAGGTGTCATCACCCTGAAGAACTGCTGCTGTTTCTAAAGACAGTCCTCAGACTCAGGGGGATTAAAGAAAGACATGAATGGAATAAACTTAGGTAATCAATTATTATTAAATTCTAAACAGAACTTAAATTGGATGAAAAATAAGTTCTTAAAAATATAATAGCTAACATTCGTAAATGCTAAATATTTTCAAAGGGAACATAAGTATTTTAAAAATTTAATTAGGTTTCGATATATACAACTTCTTTTATTATTAATCCCATTTTAGGTCACGCCTGATGTACTTCTCAGCAGCAGGCCTATGCTCATTTGAAAAGCTGGCCTAGTTTTAGCGTGACA